CAGTATCTAAGGGGGAGATGCAGGAAAGAAGTGGACAGACTCTTAAGCAGGGTCTGTGCTGACAGAACAAGGGGAAATGGCTTCCAACCCAGGGAGGGTAGATTTAGGTTAAATTTACAGTGAGGGTGTTGAGGCACTGGAACAGGTTGCCCAGAAATGTGGTGGATGCCCTGTCCCTGGAGACTTTCAAGGCAAGGCTGGATCACACCCTGGGCAACCTGATCTAGCTGTGGTGTCCCTGTTTATTGCAGGGGAGTGGGACCAGGTGTCACTCAGAGGTCCCTTCCAACTCTTAAGGTTTCCATGACTCTACGATGCAAAACATCACAGTAACTTGAAAAGCGAGGAGGAAACAGCCAGCAAAAATTCAAGCACAACGAGGTACTGCCCACAGTAACTACTTAGTATTTGTCAGCAATAGCATGCAGATTGTAAAACACAGGCAGCATACTGAAAATCAGCTACTTTAACATCTTGACAACTCAGGTTGAGTGAAGCTTGTTCTGTGTCACTTACTGATGGCAGATAGAATGCTGTAACACACTTAGCTAACAAGACATGCTCGTTTTCACATGACCTGGACCTCAGAGGCAAAGAGAGCAGATCAGTGTTAGCTGAGGATACAGAGACCATGGAGACACAACATAAATTTCTAAGGGATTTCTCATGGGAAGTGGGGAAGAAAGTCTGTAATAAGCCCATTCAGATGTGTTAAATGTAAAAACCTTTCTTAATGGCTTCATTTTAATTGCCAGGAAATTGCATTTGCAGGTGACTCACTGCTTAAACACTAACCTGGAGGGAATACGAACTGAAGTCCACTCTTTAGGCAGCTGGGTTCTGGAGATAAACTGCTGTCTCTAAGTCAGGCTCTACAAGGAGACACACTGGCATTCTCAGAGCATAGCAGAGCACAGCAGAAAAAAAGCAACGAACAAATGAAGCCCCAAAGCCTAAAAATGAGGAAGTTAACTGTAGTTAACTCAGACGCAGCTAAAGGAACCTCAAGTTGGGAGCGCAAGGCTTACATATCTCGAAAATGGAAAAGAATGCAAAAAACAAGAGTTAAATGAAACACCTGGGAGGCTTACCGAGACAGAAAATAAATCCCATCCCAAGCAAGGCTGGCAGCACCACTGATCTGAGGTGCTATCCTGTTAGGACGCTGCTGTCAGTCGCCACAGGGGCACGCACGCAATTTCCTTTTTGTTCTCCCTTTAAACGAGGTGTTTTTCCTGCTAACCCACTTTCCATAACCCCGTCATCAGGCCCAGCCGGGGTCACCTCAGCGCTCACTCAGCGCTCCGAGGACCCGATGCCGCACGCAGCGCTCCCGAGCCGGGACGCACTCAGGGGCCATCTTACAGGCTAAGGACCACGCGGCGCCGGCAGAGGGCGGCCTGGCGGACCCGCCGCCCGTCACCGGCTGCCGCGGTGGCCGTGACACCGCTCCGGACCCGGAACCAACACCCGGCGGCTCGGAAATCTCTCCGGAGCCACGCTCGCAGCGCCCCAGCTCAACAGGCGCCGCGGCGACCGCCTCGCCCAATCCCCGCCGCAGAAAGGACGGTGGAGGCTCGCTGGGTCACGTGACCGAGAGGCCGGTGCTAGCGCGCCCCCCACCGGCCATCGCTGATGATTGCCTCACCCGCAAGCTCTGCCCTCCGCCGCCACTCGGCGCCTCCGCTTCCGGCTGCGGCCGCGTCCTTCTGCCCGGCCCGCGGCGGCTCCCGGGGGAATAGGCGGCGGGGCGGGGCCGGCCGGGCTGGGCGGGGCGTCCAGGGAAGCCCATGAGGGACCGGGCAAAACGGGCAGCCTCTCCAAGGAGGTAGACGTTTGCGATCGGGAGAATCGGCTGAGGGAGGGAAATATCGCTGCAGAGCTTTGGGGACAGCGGAGCGGGTCCAGAGGAAGGCCACTAAGATGATCAGAGGGCTGGAGCACCTCTCCTGTGAGGAAAGGCTGAGGGAACTGGGATTGTTTAGCCTGGAGAAGGCTCTGGGTAGATCTCATTATGGCCTTCCAGTACTTAAAGGGAGCGTATGAACAGGAGGGGAATGGCTGTTCATGAGGGTGGATAGTGATAGGACAAGGGGGAACGGTCTTAAACTGAGACAGGGGAGGTTTAGGTTAGATATTAGGAGGAAGTTCTTCTCACAGAGGGTGGTGACGCACTGGAACAGGCTGCCCAAGGAGGCTGTGGATGCCCCATCCCTGGAGGAATTCAAGGCCAGGCTGGATGTGGCTCTGGGCAGCCTGGTCTGCTGGTTGGTGACCCTGCACACAGCAGGAGGTTGAAACTGGATGATCATTGTGCTCCTTTTCAACACAGGCCATTCTGTGACAAGCTGTGAAAACAGAAGCGCTACCTCGTGAAAGGGCTGAGTCAGGAATTGCGTGAGAATCTACATGTAATAACAGGTATAAAAACACAGCCAGGCCCAAATGAAATGAAAAATACAAGAAGAACCAGAAAATTTTTTTAACATATTTAATGTAAAAAAACCCCAAACATACATGGGCTACGCTATCACATTTGACATTCTAACAGTTGCAGCTTGAAATAGCAACTTCAATTTAAGGAAATCTCATTTTTGTAAATTTACAGTTGCTTTAAATTGCTTGTAAAACAGTGAACAACGACAAGAAGTCAATTTAACAGTAAGTTGTTGTCATTTATTGTGATCACAGACAAGCTAACCATAGATAGAACTGAACCCCAATGCACTGTTTGTGTGTAGAGAGATTTGTCATTCAGATGCTTTATCTATCTCATAAGTTTAACTGTCTGCAGAGACCAAAACTCTTCTAATTTGTATTATCCCATTCCCTCATCCAGTCGCTATAACTGACTCTCAAGGCAAATACCTGCCAGTTTGCCCCAAAGCCAGTCTTTTAATATTCTTTGTGCAAAGGATGGTGGAAGAGAAGACCAGATTAATCCACCCGAAAGAAGCAGAGGTTTTCTTAATATATATGAGCAGATAATCTTAGTAACCCTTTGAAGGTAGTGAGGAATATCTGTTTCAAATACACGATGCCTCACATCCTTTTCTTTAAGAGATGAACCATATTTCATATTACCTGTTTTATTCCTATTACAGAAAAACTAGGATGAACAGCTCAGATACAGATGTCTAAAACGTGGTGGAAACTGCAATTAACAGAGCCCAATGTTTGTAGCAAACCATTCAGAAGTATTGAAGATTTTTATTTCTGAGTGCTCATACACACACAACCCAAATCTCTAAAACCTAAGTATGAACTAAATAAGAGGAAACTTCATGTACACGACATTGTACTAAATACAAGAGAAACAAAATTATGGAATTCTCTTGGAAGTTTTTGGTGAAAATAGGCTGTAATGCGTAGTAGCCATTTGTGCATTGAATCATTGAGTATATCTTCAGAACTGTATTTGAACAAGCAAGCTTTGGAAAAACTAAGAATATCCATGTTTCTTGATTTAATGTCAGCTGATACGAAGGAAACATTAGTCTTCCATAATTGTCAATGGTGGAAAGGCAACATGGAGAAAAAAATCCAGCATGCTGGAAATACAGACTGTAACAACAGCTACATTCAAACCCACTTTTTTCTAAACCTTTCTCTCTTCCAGAGTATGTGTTCTGCACCATTCCAGGAGCCTGTTATGAGGTATGAGAAAATAAGAAGAAAGCTAACATTATAACTGTTTCTCTCTCAAAATAATTCTGAAAATAAAACAACAACAAAAAAAAGTTTGCTTCTTTCGAACCCAAAGTATGCTTCAACATTATGCTCACTCATAAGAGTATCGTTACTACTCTCATACAAGTAATCACAATGAACTTATACAGCACTAAAAAAATGATATAAAACAAATAGTCCCACACATAATAATACAATAGGTTCCCAGAAAACTAATCAAGAATAAATCACACTGTCTGTATTGAAGAGTAAACACCATTTTCAAGTGCCAACAAAGTGTTCAATTTGTTAGCATGCCTCTTCCATATAGGACTCGAGTAGAACAAAGTGATTTCTACACAGGAATTTCTGCAACACCTTTGGTTTGTAATGAGCCACAGAGAATTCAGACCCCATATATAATATTGATCTACCGGATTTCTGTAAAGCTAACCCAGTAGGCAACAGGGACAACTATACATATGAACTTCATGATGAGAATAATAATTTAAACTCAATGTCATATTCCAAATATACAGAAAAGACTTGATTATATTAAACATCTATTTTCTGCTAGTTTTGGGATCTAGCCAGATCCCAACCCTTTAATACCTTATGACTGAAGTCTCTATATCCAATGCATGCTAAGCTGCACGGAAAGCCTTAGAAGTCTGTACTGAAAGGTTTATCTATTTCAGCACATTTCAGATATGAAAGCTCAACTGTAAAGACTGAACTATACTGGTCGTCAGAAGATGGGAAGCCATACTGGTGCAAAACCAGAAGAAATGAAAACAATGCAAAGTTGGTACCCTACATGAATAAATTAGTCTTGCTGAGAAACAGAGTATGGTAGCAGGAGAGGAGCACTGCATTAATACAAATGCATGCCTCTGGTACTTCAACTAAAATCAGCGTGGCAAATATAAGATTTGTGCATGTGCAATGCAGGCATATTAATTCATTCAGAGCCAAATTTGTGCAGTATCACTGCCACAGCCTTGCTGGCTAGATTTGTAGTTACTCAGGAAAGAATATTACACTGAAGCAGCTGCAGTACCTATGGTGCCCAGACTAACTTTGTTGGAGGATGCTTAGTGAGCTCTACAGACACACTGGTTCTTGAATCAACTGTCATTTTCAAAAGTTAGCCTACTGCAGGTTCAAGACACAGTCTAGATGTAGAATGTTTACATGGTAGTCAGACGACAAGTTCATGCGACAGCCTGTCCTGTGGCAGGCATTTCCCCAACATTTTAAATGGTTCCACACACTTGCAGATGAAGATTTTCCACTTGTGTGTGGAAAACATTCCACAGTCTCCTATTGAATAACCATTGCACTAATTAGGAAAGCTGCAAATACTACATTAATCAATGTCTTCCTACAGGGATAAAAAGAAAGAATAACAAAATACAGAAAAGAGGCTAAGTTCCTCAGTTTTCACATCCAATAGAGGTCATCCAATCTGAAAAAACAAGCAAACAAATAAGAAAATAGACATGAGATCATTCCCTGAAGCAGGAATATAAATACTAGCAAAAGAAAATACAACTCTGGACAGCCAGAGTTTAAACACATCACAGCAAGTTGAAAAATGACACTGTATCAATTGGTGCCCCTCTCTGAATCACCCCGCATCAACGTGATCAGTTTACACATTAACAGCTACGCTTACTTAACTGATTTCAGCAAACTCAGCAGCCACAGTTAGACAAAGGTTTATCACAGTTCCTTCCACTTAATACCTTATCAGTCAAGGTCAGATTGTCTGCCCACAGAAATTCTCTTTCTTACCAACAATGTAGGAGCTAGAAGGTGTTATGTCCTCAATCAAAAAGCACTGCAATGCCTTAGACAACAAGAATCAGCTCCCGTGGATGCGATACTGTATTTAGACCACTGACTTGCTGCAAGAGCTAAAGGAATTCTGACTTGTGGCCCAACCTGTCTACACTAGATGAGGTTACCTGAAGAACAGAAATTCTAGCTTGCTCCTCTGACATCTGACACTTCTTTCTTTTCCATCTGCTGCTTGCTAAAATCTTGTCTTAAATCCAGGAGTATTTCCTCCACTTGAGCGTATCTCAGCAGCTTGGTGGCTCACAAACCTTTTATGGTGTACATTTTCACCTGTACAAATCCTGCAGTTCAAAGGGTGGAGCCAGAAACCAGAAACAAAGCATAACTCAAATTACAAGATTAGACTGCCAGATAGAATCCATTCTTCTACCGGCTCTGTAGGACTAGCAGTAGAAAGCAGTAATAAAACTGAAGTGGACAGATATTCTTCATACTTGAAATGATCAGTATTTAAGCAGGAAATTGCACTTTTTCCAGAAACGCTTTCAGAAATAAATCTGCCTTCTGATATTCATCCTGCTACTAAAAAAGTCAGATGAAGATATCAAATTGCAAGTGAAAGCAAATATTGCTATTTTTTTCACAGCTGTGAAATTCCATCTGCATTGCCTTCGTATACCTACAAAAGTGTTCTAAGGAACTTCAAAATGCAGTTCAAGAGTAAAAATAAAAAGATCTCCAAACTCCAGCTGAAATGTTAGAAACTGCAGGAGGGCATAACTGGACATCCAAGTGTGCATTGCTGGTGTTGTTCTTTTCGAGAAACGATGACTGAATCCTTTACATGGTCAGAAGTAACCACGTAACACTAATAGTAAAGGGCATGCATGGACAACCTGAAAAGAAATATCAGGCACCGCCTTTCCTTTGCAATTGCTCCAATTTTCTTCTTAAGAGATTGTAGTTTTCCTTGGTCCCAGGTGCCATAGGATCAAGCTTCAGAGAGACTTCATAGTGCTTCTTTGCTAAGTCAAGATTTCCCCAGCGATGATAAAGCACAGCTGGAACATCAATAAGGGATTTCATTAGCAATATTGCTGAATAATGTGCAGTCTTGCCAGTGACTTGGAAAACAACATTAAAGCATTTGTTTCCAGTGAGGGTCTCTCACTGGCTGGTGGCACAGTAGCTGCTTGTTCTGTTGCCAAATGCAGGAGCAAAGCCTGGGAGCAGAACTAGAATGGGACTGATGGAATGAATTATGCTATAGCCACAAATGGCAGCTCTTATCTGGTGAGCTCCATTGTGGGTTATAAGCATAGCATAAACGAACCAATTTGCAGCCACTGAAGTGCAGCTACCTCTGGGCTGGATTGTGAAGCCCTCTTGATCTGTCTTATCATGTGACAGCTTCTCTGGGTTAGTGCCCTGTTCTTCACTGGCTGGCAGTTTTACCAGGAAGTCAAATAGCATCTGCTCAGCAGGAAGAAGGCTCGAAAGATTGCTTTTTCTTTTAAACCACCATGAATATGAAACAAACAAACAATACAGCTGAGGAGAGTTAGAAAATCTCTTACCTAAATTACCATGATAACTGGCAGCATTTGGATTGGCTTTAATTGCCTTGAGGAACAAAGCTTCAGATTCCTGAATAATTTAGAAGAACAAGTCAACAGAGCAGTCGACACTTGCAGTATGTAAAATAAAGCAAAATATACTCAAAATTGTAATTGAAGGAGATCTCAAACACCAACTATATCTATGTGATTCCACAATATGTATAATCTAAGCTTGCATAATCCTGTAGTTAAAATGGCTGTAGCCTTGGGAAAGAAAAGTAACAATGGCACAAATATGTGCCAAGATTTTGCAGCTTCACATTATTTTAACTGGGAGCTATTTAGCATTAGTGAAGTCTGTAAAAGTGGTTTAATTACATCACTTGCTAAAGTTTCAGTTAAGGCAAGCATAATATAGTACAGTATCTGAGAAAACTGCTTTTAGACATCTTCCCCTTTAATACAATTTTTTTACCATTTAAAATGCAAGCATTTCCCCTATATTCAGCACTAGCGAGGCCGCACCTCGAGTACTGTGTCCAGTTTTGGGCCCCTCACTGCAACAAAGACATTGAGGCCCTGGAACGTGTTCAAAGAAGGACAACAAAGCTGGTGAGGGGTCTGGAACACAGGCCATATGAGGAGAGGCTGAAGGAGCTGGGAATGTTCAGCCTGGAGAAGAGGAGGCTCAGGGGAGACCTCATTGCTCTCTATAACTTCCTGAAGGGAGGCTGTAGTGAGCTGGGGGTCGGCCTCTTCTCTCGTGTCATCAGTGATAGGACCAGGGGGAATGGCTTCAAGCTACGGCAGGGGAGATTCAGGCTGGACATGAGGAAGTATTACTTCTCAGAAAGGGTGGTCAGGCACTGGAATGGATGCCCAGGGAGGTGGAGGAGTCACCGAGCCTGGGGGTGTTCAAGGAAAGGCTGGATGTTGTGTTGAGGGACATGGTTTAGTGGGAGCTGTTGGGAATAGGTGAACGGTTGGACTGGGTGATCTTTTAGGTCTTTTCCAACCTTGGTGATTCTATGATTCTATGATTCCATTCCAGTAAAACTCTTTCAAACAGATGTTTCAAGATGGTTCTTAATGAAGAATAACTGAGTGTCTGTCATTTAAAAATCAAACCAAGTGAAGCATTCTTCACATTTCTTGCAAGCTATTTTTTCCATATACCAAGATGCAGTATGTGAGCTCTTAGAACTGTTGATGTCTGAGTACTTCTTAGAAAAGCTGAACTCTCACCAAATATTCAGAGGTGCAACTTTTGCTACATTAATTTCACAATTCCACATTTTTGCTTTACCATACTAACTGCTGATATAGACACAGAACATATTTCCTAAAGAAGTTTACAAAGACACCCCTCAATCTGTATTTACTCACATGCAAGTTTAGATATTTTCAGAAGACGCAATTTCACATAGATTCTGTGCTATGCTCTTTTAGGGAAAATTGCTCATTTATTTTCAGTGCAAAACATCTAGAGACAAAATTTCCTCCATGTAGTAGTCTTCTGCCTTAAGGCACAAACTTGCCTAAGGTATGTGCAAGTTTTGGCATTGCTTTTCCCAGGCATAAGCAGCTGCTCTAGCATCCTCATATACTGACTATTAAAGTGCCAAGATACATTGGCCTCTGAGACTCACAACATTTTAATACTTTGTTAATGATTTGGGTGATAATGATAATGCATTATCAGAAACTTTTCAGAAGCAGCACCTAATTGAAGGAAGTGGTCAGTACACTGGGAGGGAAGGCTATCACTCAGATCTGGACTGAATGGAGAAATAGAATGGCAGGAATCATACGATCTCTGCAGTTGGTTTGGTCCCTGTGGCCCAGCCGCTGTTCCACCAGCACCACTCAGAGCAGGGTCCCCAAGTCCCCGGGCAGATGGCTTTTGGAGATCTCCAAGGAGGAGACTGCACTGCCTCTGTGGGCAACCTGTGCCAGTTCTCTTGTCACCCATACAGCATGCAAGCACTGTCTAGTGCTCAGAGGGAACCTCCTGTCCTCCAGCTTATGATCCTTGCATGTTCTTCTGGCACCAGGCACCACTAAAAAGAGCGTGGCTCCATCCTCTGTGCACCCTCCCTTTGAGTATTTATAGATACTGATGAGATCTCCTCTGAGTCCCCTCTCCTCTGGGTTGAGCAGTTCCATCTCCTAGTCTTTCCTTAAGTTAGAGATGCTCCAGTCCCTTAATCATCTTCATGGACTTTTGTCAAACTCTCTCCACCATGTTCACGTCCCCCTTGTATTGGTTAGTCCAGAACTCGGCACAGTACTCAGGTGTGGCCTCCCAGTATTGAACAGTGGGAAAGGATCACCTCCCTTGACTTGCTAGCAATACTTTGCCAAATGCAAGTCAGGACATTCTCAGCCTTCTTTGCCACAAGGACACACTGCTTGCTCCATGCTCAACTTGGTGTCCACCAGGATCCCCCTGTCCTTTTCTGCAGAACTTCTTTTTAGCTGGGTGGCCCACAGCATGTACTGGTGCTTGAATTTGTTCCTCCTAGGTGCAGGACTCAGTATCTCCTCTGGCTCCCTCCACCGTTCAGAAGAGAAGATGAATGGGAGACCTTATTGCTATCCACAACTACCTGGGCAGAGAACGCACAAGAAATGGAGCCAGACTATTCTCACAAAAGGACAAGAGACAAAGAAAATTTATGTGAAATTTCATTTAGATAAAAGGAAACACCTTTTCTGTTTGTATGTTTGTTTTTTAACCATGAAGGTGGTCAAGCACTGGAAGGTGTTGCCTGGAGAGGTTTTAAAGATATTCAAGACTCAACTGGCCACTGTCCCTGGTTTGGTCAGGGATTGGACTGGATGACTCTAGATGTCCCTTCCATTCGAAATTGTTAATCACAGAATCATAGAATGGCCTGGGTGAAAAGGACAAAAAGGATTATCTAGTTTCAACCCAACCTGCTATGGTGCAGGGCTGCCAACCATTAGAACAGGCTGCCCAGAGCCACATCCATCCAGCCTGACCTGACTTCTAATGCCTCCAGGGATGGGGCACCCACAACATCCCTGGGCAACCTGTTCTAGTGCATCACCACCCTCTGTGTGAAAAAATTGTCCTATGATTCTGAGTCACCTGAGAAATATCCCAGTAGTCAAACCTCTGGCAGATCCTGTGGTGTTGCAAGATAATCTTTTTACATACAGCCACACAAACCTATACGTCAACAACAGAATGGCCCTTCAAAGTGTGTAGTAGTCAGAAATCCTACAGCTTGTAATTTTTTCCACTGCAAATTCCAGTATTTCAGTTAAGTGAATAAGTAAATCTCTGCTTTCTTCATCAAGCAGAGTAACAACGGTCTGAAAGATGTGCTGTCCAGTTAATTCACTTTTATGGCTAAATGTTGTCATCTACACAAAGGAGTAGATAAGGCTTACTGTTTTCACTGCTGAAATAAGATAGGGCAATATGTGCAATGTGTTCCAAGAAAATACATTGAAATACACGATCAGAGCTGACTCTCATTACCATACATCTTCAACCACACACTGAAAACATTTTCATTGCCACTGCTTTCCTCAGCAGTTAGTAGAAGCATACTGTCTCATTAAAGACTATTGAAGGTGAATCACTTTCATATTATTGCAGATGTATAGAGTAAATATACATTCCAGTACATCCGGTGATACTTCAAATTACTCTGTCTTGCCAAATCTTTAAATTAAGTGTTGTCAGGAAACTTGCACGCTGCATATAGTGAAGGCTTTGGGAAACCACACTGCATTCCATCTGCTGCCAAGCCCACAGTACAGAGCTGTAGTCTGGCTTCATTTCAAATATAAGAAAAAAAAAATGCTGAATGTTTCTAATTTGTTGTACTTTTTACAGAAAAAAATGTGGATGTATACATAACAAAAACACAGCATATATATTTTCAAAGAACTAAAAGATAGCTTAATTCTTTGTCCATTGCAACAAGAACAAGTATTTAAGTGAGAAGTCTATACTGGTATAACAGATGTTAATTAAAAACAAACAAACAAACAAAAACCAACGACAAAACACAACAACTCCACAACAGGTAATCTTTTATGCGCTTTTGTTTCTGGAATAATAAATCATTCATGAATAGATACAACCAAATCTTAAAGGGTTGGAGGACTTTTTGGGGGTTGCTTGGGAAATTCATCTCCTGCTGCAAATCAAAATGCACTTAAAACCAAAGGAAAACATCCAAATTATTTGAAGGGAATCTCTGATAACATAATAAAATCTTTTTGACTCAGTGCCTTTTAAAATAACTACCCAAAACCAACCAACCAACCATAAAAAACGTCAAAAGAACAAAACCCACCCCAAAACAAATCTTATTTTATGGCAACAGAGCCAGTGTAGCATCAACTTTTACACAGAAACATAAAAAGCAAATAAATGAAATGCCTGAGGTTATACAACAGAACAGATGCAGCCAGGCAGCCCTCTGCCAGTTACCTCCATCACCTTGACAGCCTCTATCCCACGTCTTCCTCACTCCTCCCAACTCAATAAATATCCTTAAAGAACCCTCCTTTTCTCTCTGTTTTTACACATTGAGGGGGTGGGCAAGAAATCAATTTCCCATACTTTTTTTAATCAACATTTTTTCTCCCACTTAAAAAACAAACAAACATGCTCTATCTCCTTTTTCCAGGCCATGCAAAATACAGCTGCTGCTGTCATTATCTCCTTTTCTAACTAAGTCCACTTTCCAATTCCCTTAATTTGCTCTTCCTGTTATAACCAATCAACCTCAAGTTAGGCTTTATCATTTGCTCTACACAAACCTACTGCTCCCTAATGAAATATTAAAACTCTCACTGGCTCTCTGATTTCTTTCCTAGGCTCTTTTGCTTTATTCAGGATTCTGGCTTGAGAGCTTTATTTTCCTCTACAACTATTCCCACGTTGCCCAATGCATTCCCCTGCAGCATAATGACCTCTCAGAACTGGACAGCATTACCTCCTTGTTAATTTTCTAAGGCAAACTTGTTTCTTCTATACCCAAAGAATGTTTCCTAGCAAGTTTTCCACATATTTTTTCTGCTTACTTCATTATAAACATTTTTTATTCTGTCAGGCTGCATATTACCCTCGTTAAATAACTGTACAATCCTCTGTTCTTTCACACTCATGATTCATCTAAGTAATACTAGCAATTAACTCCTCCATAATGTTACTCCTTATACATTCTGGGTGTTAATTTGTATTCTTCAAGAACATAGTTAAAGTAACCTGAAAACATATTTTATGACAGCTTCAAGGTAGAAAGAGAGGAATAATAGAACATACAAAACAGCATCATCAACACAAACAAAAGTGTTGGGCTGTCACAGGCCTTGGCTTCACATGTGGACAAGTCATCACTCTACAGCTAAATACGACTGTGGAATTCAGACACAGACAGGTGAAAAAAAAAAAAATTCTAAGAAGTTTAACATCATAAAATCTTTCTTCTCTTACGCCGAGGCTGTTCCTTCTGCACTATTAACATTACAATGTATCAAAAAGCCATCAAAACCCCCAAAACTCATGGTTCAGCAAATGACATCTTTTTTTTCCTCAGGACTACCAAAATCTTGTTATTGCTTACATACATTAGTGCCTACAGAGTCCATTAAAGCAAATGAATATATTAGCTATATGTGATGTAGTCTTCAGATGCTCATACACTTTAGGAAAATAGTTCTGTCCCCAGCTGCATTACATTCACTTCTCGTAAATATGAGTAGTTAATTTTGAAGTACCACTGCTTAGCAGGCCAATTGTACCCAAGAGAAAGTGTATGAATTTCTCATAATATTCTGGGATTATCCAGGTATCCTATCTTCAATCCAGGATTAGAGAATCTGTAGTATCTTCATTTTAGAAGATTTTCATTTTAGTTTCTGAGGTAAAGAGGTTAGAATTCATATCAAGTAATGGTAAATATTGCTTTCCTTTACATACAAAGAGCACAAGGGCAAGTATATTACATCTAATTTTAGACCCTGTACCAAAGCCTTTAGGCAGAAGGTTTTTCTCCATAGACAGAAAAGGAATATAAATGCCCTCTAGTGTGCTTAAGAGCCCATTTCTCATCACTGACCAGTTATGTAGTTTAGGGCAACAACGTTCCAAACACCAGCATCAAAAATAAGGTATGATGAATTTAGGCCAGAATCACATCATAATTCTGTGACAGAAATGGGTGTTGAATACTGATTATTTAAGCCCACAGTCCACAATGACCTCCTTAGTTTCTACAGAAACAGAAAAGAAAAACCACAACAAAAAAGAAACAGAGAAAGATCTAGTTACCTACCTTATATTTTTGTGATTTCCCCAGTACATTTGCCAGAGAAAACATAAGGGAATGATCATTAGGTATTAACTCCAGGGCCTCTCTTCCAACTGCCTCTGCTTGAGCTAGATTCCCTGGGAGCCCACACAGTGGAAAAAGAGAAAGCATCTTTTAGCACAGCCTTACTAACTACTTTTCATGCTGTAAGCACACGTATTTTGTGAATAGCCGATTACATGCATTTTTAAAGAAAACCAGGTATCTCAGACACAACAAAAAGAAATGCAAAGTCCTATAGAAGGAAATAACAGAAAACCTCCATTTTGTTTTGAACAAATGACACTTTAAAAAGGACAAAAACACAGGTTCCAAACTTCTGAAGTTTGGTCTATAATACACACATGCCTGCACACTGATGGCATTTCAAACAAGGATCAGAAATTCAGTTTATGGGCTGGATTTTAAATTATGCTCTATAACCAGTGAGTTAGATGGTATTCTAATATTTATGAAGAGTAGCTTGATAGCTGCAGAAGAAGTAGAACTCCTTTTGGATAAATACAGATCAAGCTCTGAGTTTAGCAAGACACTGAATTATTCATTAAAATATTCAAATGGGCATATACCTGTGTTATCAAGCAATATAATCATATTGTTCCAAGCCAAACTATGCTCTGGTTTCAGAACTGTAGCATTCCTCCAAGCATTCAATGCATCTATATGGCGATTCAAATCCGCATACTAAAAAGAAAGAAAACTCCAGTAATTTCACCCTGATTTACTTTCCTATTATGGACTAAAGGTACTAAACAGTTATTAGCCCTTCTCATATCATTCTAGTAGAGCTTGCTCTTATAAACAAAAATAAGAAACATAAAAAGAGCACTAGAGTAGTATAGAAGACAGACTGGTATATATTAACATCACAGTTCCATGCTGCTCTTTCTCTGATAGCCAAGCTTGCCCTCAATTATATTTCTACCACTAGGAAGGGGATGAAAACCAGCATGTAGTTTAGAACTCCATACAAGAGAATAAGTAAACATTTAATATAAATATTTCCAGGAATCTAAGCTTTTTTATTTTTTGTGTGGTTCTACTGCCTAACAATCTGTTGAAATACAAAACAAACTGCATCTATGTAAAACAGTCTAATATTGAGAAATTATTAAAATTATCTCTTAAAAAAAAAAAAAGAGATCACAATCTACATATTTGTTTAGACATCTCTATAAGGAAAAGTAGCATTACCAAATCTGACATGGAATTATAGGAAAAGCACTGAAAATAGGAAATCACTCTGAAGTACACAACAAATAAACTAGAATAACTATAAGCATTTAAAAATACTGCAGAATTATATGAACATGCAAACCATGCTAATACTGATCATTTATTCAAACCACTCTAATAGTGATCGTGTATTCAAAAATACTTACCAACCGCCCTAAATTGTAGTAACAATCTGGGTACTTTTTTCTGTGTTTAATTGCTGTCCAGTAGCTTTGCTCTGCCTCTTCAAACCTCCTTAAGCTGTTCTGTACTATTCCCAGATTCATCCACGCAGCAGCAAAATCAGGTCTGCGTAAATTGGAAAAAAAAAAAAAAAAAAAGAAACAAAAAAGAGGGAGTGATGATAATTGAGTGTCTAGAACAGAAGAACCCATTTCTGCTTAGCCAGTGAAAAACACTGGTTAGCATTGTTCTAAACATACTGTATTTGTACAGCTAAGGACAGCAACTCTTCTGCTTCTTGGAGTTCATTTCTTTCCTTCAGAATATTTCCAAGGTTGTTCATGGCATGTACATATTTAGGGTTCAGCCTAAAATTTAAAATTGAAGAGATTATTATTATGTATGAGACACATTTCCGTATGCAAATTGTTAGCCCTTCATCTCTGCAGAGCATGAAAATGAATACCAAAGCATTTTCTCCTGGTTAAACATTAAAGTAATCTCAGGGTAGCTCAATAAAACAGCAAATTTTTAATACCTTACAGCTTCTCTGTAGTATTTGATTGCAGCACTTTGATTTCCTTTGTCAGCCAGGTTTTTACCAACGTTGTAGTGTACCTGAAAACACCAATGAACATTTTAGCAGATGCTGTAGAGTCACATATTTTATGGATTTGTGCTGCTAAAAATTATTAATAGGTACAAATAAATACAGATCCAAATAGATACAGTCAGTACTTATGTCAATAACTGCTGATTTTTTGTGGTAGGTGGATTCTCCAGGTTGGACAATATAGGGAATGAAAGCTGTAAAAAACCAAAATCTTAGGAATAAATAAATCGGCTTACCTGGTCTAGCTAGTTAAGAAAGATTATTCACTTCCTGATCTTGTAAATAAGCTCATCACACTGTCCATAAGACTCTTGATATGGAGACCTCTTACCCTCCATTTCTATTATTTGTCAGATGAATAATTCCGACTCATTCAAATCCACCACAGTAGAAGATAAACTACAACACTAAGCGTTGATTAAACTTCACTTTTACCTCACTGTAAGCCAAGAGAAATTTGATATAAACTGAATAACAACCATTTCTCACCACTCAAAAGACCCAACTATTTTTGTTTCACTTTAGCAACGCATTCCACACAGCATTTCTGAAACAAACAAACAAACAAACAAACCTTGACAGCATGTTGGAGGCCCTTCCTGTTATATGCAGTTGAAAATAAGGGAAAGGTCTAGAGTTTTGGGATAACTGCAGAGCAAATCCCTATGATTTGGATTTATGATAAGGATTCAATAGGAATTTCAGGATATTCATTTCAAATCCTATTTTAAGTCTACTGCCAGAAAACTACATTACCTGGTCAAGGGAATACTCAAGTTTAGAAATAAAAGTATTGTGAACACTAACTGCTGAAAATAGACTTCTCTGCAACTCGATCAGAATTCATGCTTTAAATTGCCTTACTATTTGAAATCAAAATGTATATACCACATCTAAAACAAACTTATACAATATCATTATTTCCACACCACAAAAATCTTATTTAAATCTCTTTAAAGAACACTATGCAGAAATTATTTTGATTGAAATACATAATGATAGGTTTGTAATAAATTTAGATAGCTCTAAATCACCCTAAACATTCAGAAAAGGATTTTTGTCTTATGTGTCCAAAGTTTAAATTCCCACTGTGTTTGGCACAACACCTGGGTCCCACTGATCCAGCACACACAGTTATGTTTGAACTCAATTGTTACAGCATTTTGTTGTTGAATACCATTTCTACATGACTGCAACTATACAGTACCATGCCACCAACAGATCAAGTTAAAATCATATTTCATGCTTTCTAAAATAAGTGAAAAAGTAGTTTCATTGGTTTTAAAGATAGTAAAAATGCTGTGAGGCTTACTAAGCATTCACAGAAGCAGCTCCTCGGGCTGTAAGATATAAAACAGCACACAGATTCAGCAACTCATAAAAGCAGTTCTAGCACAGCTTCCAAGGAAAAAAAAATAAAATATTCAGACATTTCCTTCATACATTCAGAAAAGATATGACAAGGTCTACTCCTAACAAGCAAAAGGATGGGACGTTTATATCAAGGCACAGACATTTATAAAAGTCAATTCACTGTGATAAAAAAAAATAGCATAGCTTTCAAAGGGTCATTAAAGTAAAATAATACACCCTAAAGATGTTGCCCAGGACTGAGTGTTATTTGCATCTCTTCAAGAAATTTTTCAGCACATTATAACAGCATTCTTAGGAAACTGGATGGCTTTGATTATACATGCAGTGAAGTTTACAGATTCAAAATCTATTCAGAGATATTTAGGTTATTAAACTTTGCTGCACTTCCAGATAAAAGATAACTTTTAGCAAAACAGAAAGAAATAAAGGAAGCCAACTAAGGCTATGCTAACCAGATTCAGTTTCTTTCTCTAAAGTTTTACAAATGCCTTTTTCTTCACGCTGCTCATTTTGAAGACATCATAAGCATTACTGCAAGGAGGAATTTGATTAAAGACGGAAGACAGAGCATATGAGAAAAAAAAACAACAACTGTGTATACCACCCACTCAGTCTTAGAAACATATGTTTCAGTTGTCTTGTGTTAGGAGTCAGTCAGCATTTCACTTTCAGACTCTATTTTTGCCTCATTTTCTTACAGTGTAGAACTCCCTGTAGTCCATTTCTATCTAAAAGAGCAGCAAAAAGCATATTCTTCTCATGTAAATAGGATTATTTAGCTTGCAGAAAGCCAAAAGATATCAATTCTTTCAAGTCAGAACGTCAAATGAAACATTAAGTGCACGTTTTGTGAACTGAATTAGAATGATCTATTACAGTATTAAAACAGATAACAAAGCTATTTTAATAAACTACTGCTTATTAAAACAATCTGTTTTTTTTTTTCTCTCCATGATTTCTTCTATCCTCAGATAGTGTTTCTGTGTAAAAGGAACAATGTTTCGACAGTTTTCCAGAATATTAAGAGTTCCTTGTTGTATATGTTTCCCAGCTCCCTTCAGGAGAAATTGTAACCTTAGCTCCTCTCTATATGGTGACAAAGAAGAAAATAAGAGAAGAAAAACTACAGTAAGCAAACCAAAGGAAACCCTCAGACCACCATAAACTTCCAACAACAAAACAGCTTCAAAGCAAATTTGCAGGCGATAAACATGCAATAAAATCTTTATCTTAAGAACAGAATCAGGAATTGTTTCTAAGCATACAGAACCATTGGAAGGGTGCAGGTTATTCTAGTTATACGGTCACGTCTCTCACTTCCCTGGGAATCACAGATGTCAAGATCAGCCTTTTGCCCTGCTCACCTCAACCAGGTTTACAAACAACCTGTATGCCCTCTGCTAAGCGCAGAGCTGTAGTTCTCTCTGATCTCACCTACAATTCCTGTCTGTACAACACAGGGACAGACACTTCCCACATACCCACAAGTGGCAGGTCAGTACGATGCTTTAAATTTAATCTCCAGAGACATGGTTCATTGGCTTTAACAGATACCACCCATGCCAACCTGGGAGAGGATTTTCCTTTCCTGATGAAACATTTAAGAACAGACATACCATTTCATTACTAAACGAGCACTAAAGATAGACATTAACTGAAAATGACACATTACATTATGCCCACTTGCTCCTTTATCAAACTTAAACAGGGAATTACATTACAGTAATAGCTCTAAAATGAACATTTCTCAGAGATGCATAACAACACGGCATTCTCTGCAGCAAGGACCGTTAAAAAAGAGTGATATACTAAAAATGCCCCATGAGAAAAGTGATGTGATTTCAACAGACAGCCATGTTTGAAGTTAACATAAGCGTGGCATCATGGCCTAGCACTGTGCTCTGTGTTTGTCTGCCCTTAATACCTCAATGGGTCTAAGATGTCATTATAGGAAAGTAAAAGTACCGTGTATTATTGTTAGACACACATGATGCTTGAACTCTTACTTACACTTACTCAAGTGTTTAAATGTGCATACACCTTAAAATGAGATAGAAAAAAAGAAAAAAAAGAGCCCATTTTCCCTGTACAAAATCATCATTAATATCAAACCAATTTCTTGTTCCACCCCCGCCCTATTTCCTGCCTCAAACCAGTATAGGAAGAAATTGAAATGCAGTATCATCTAGGAAATACATGTAGTGCTCAGCTGGAGCACTGATTATCGACTATTTTATTCTCTCTTCCTCACTGCTTATAATCACCTTTTCAACAAACATGAACATTTGCTGAAAAGGATGGAAGCAGCTCACAGATGTCAAAATTTGTACAGAAACACACAGTTCAATGCTAGCTTTTCTTCCATCAAACACTCTTCTCTTTCCTCTGCTACAGAAATTATGTTTTCTAAATAAAACAATGCTTTCTTTCTTTTTTTTTTTTGATCTCTTTGTTTGTGCAGCTAGTATCTTCTAAGGGTTCTTCTGCATTACTACACTCATATACAAAGCACATATACTCATATACTCATATCATGACATCTGAGACATTATCCATGCAACAAAACACCAGTTAACCTCTAAAAATATAACTGGCAGCATTTAAGGTATCCTTTTCAAAAGATAAACCCCTTTTAATATCCAACATAGAATTCTCAATATCTAAAGGAAGTTCTCTCTAGATCTGCTTTATAAAACCTTAAAAAGCCATCAATCGTGATGCAAGTTTTACAAGGCTTTTAAAAAAAAAATAGAGAAAATAGCCTTAAAAAAATCTGTTGTTCATTTTCAGTATGAGAATAGATTGTCTTTGACAAACTTGTCCCCATGATAAAAACAGTTTGCATGAAGCATCAGGAACAAAGCTACAGAATTACAGAATTGTAGGGGCTCGAAGGGATCTCTGGAGATCACCGAGTCCAACCCTCCTCCTAAAGCAGGCCCCCTACAGCAGGCTGCACAGGTTGGTGTCCAGGCAGGTCTGGAATATCTCCAGAGGAGACTCCACAACTTCCCTGGGCAGCCTGTTCCAGTGCTCTGTCACCTCACTGTGAAGAAGTTCCTTTGTATATTGGTACAGAACTTCCAATGCTCACCACCCTTAGTATCTCAAGGCAGACTAGTTAGCAGCGCATTCTGTTCAGAATGCCATAACTCCCTTGCTAAGTATTACAGAAATGTTGCTACTTAAGTGAATTAAAAAACAACAACAACAACAACAACAACCCAACAAGTTTATTAAATTACACGCTGCAAAGGGAAAAAAAAACAAACCTAGTACTAAATAGAACGTACAGACTATGTACAGACTCTTAACAATTTACAATCATTTAAATTATTTCAAAATCTCAGGAAAAAAAAGATGGTCAGTCACTGTGGCTGCTATTTTCCATATATTTCATTACATTATTGCACCTTTATTTGTATAATCAATTAAAAGTAGTCATCAAAAATAGGCACTGTCTGTGAATTCTTAAATTGTCATGGCTTTTCTAAAAAATAAGAAGAAGCAACTTGGCATTTTGAACAGTAACTTATTGCAGAAAACACCAGTGAGATGAGCATCTTCAGGACAGGAATATTCTTTAAAATTGAAAGAGAACAGTGTATAACAACATCAGAGAGTGAGAAGCAATACAATGATGTCTAGAGATGGTGAATGGCACTAGGACAAGGGCAAAATCTCACAACCTTATGTATACACAACTGAGGTAGTTCTGAGACCTGTCAGTGGAGGGAAATACACAGAACAAGGTGCAGTCCTTCTGCCCTGCATCAGTCAAGTAGCTCAAGATGATGACAAACCACGTGATAAAAGGGACAGTTTCTCCTCTCCAGATATAAAGGAAACCTGACTTGCTCAGATGTAGATGTGTAAACTAAGGGGATGAATACCAAGCCAGTAATCTGATATACTCAAACTGCAGTTGGGGTTTTATCATAGCCTGTAATCAGATATTCTAGTTTTTCAACAAAGCACTTATGGATTAGATTGCAACACACTGGCATCAATGAAAAGACTCAATTAAATCCATTGAGTCTTTCCTAAGCACTAGCACTGAATTATTTGAAATTGATGAACTACCTGTAACATGTCACCATCAGAAAAGAGTTTATGTAACCGTTTACAAAATTTGCTTTAGTAGAGACTAGACTGGCCTGGTTCTAACTCACACTAGTCCATTCCATCACTGAGCTCAAGGAATTCAACGAATCTATACTGTATGAAAAAATGTGGTGATATTAAATACATATACCTGCACCTCCTGCCTGTCTAGGCAAAATACTGCCATATGTATATACTGCTTCAGTCTACGAATCTTTCAACCCAACTTAAACACAGGACCAAGCAAGAGTGACATACTCCTGGACATAGCTCTAACATTCTTTTTTCTCTTTCTCGTGAATAAATAAATGCACATGCGTACGTACCTTTAAAATAGATAACATATACTTTTCTGTGTTGTGAACTTTAAAAAATAAATCTTTGCATCCTCATTATGGTACCTGATTACTTCCAATACATATCAAAATTACTGGGCCATGTTTATCATTAATTTCACCTTCTTGAGCCAGATACGTCCATCACTCAAGGGGTAGATTTGCTACTATGGCAGAGAATTTGATTTATTGCAGTTTCCATACCTCTGTCTAAGAGAGATGTTTAAGGAATGTGAGTGTGAAACTAAAGAAGGCAATATTGTAACTACTTGTTACTTAGAATTATGTTAAATTTACCTTACACTGCTCGCTGACACTTTGGAACTGAGAAGAGCTGTACTAAAAAAGCTGCAGGTCTCATTGGTATTTGGGAGACACCTGGAGATTTTGGAACCCTGCTACAAAACGGAATTAAAGCATGACCACTTAACATAAATCAAAGATGTTCTGAGAAAAATAGAAATGTTATCATCTGCATTCCATCTTTTAGTCTGAATCATTCTGCCACTGAAATAAAGGGGCCAATGAAGAGTGCTGTGGAACTAGTTTTAAAGGAAGTCTGCAATTTCTTGACAACAACAGAAGACTAAAATAGAACGTAGTTCCAACTTTTACATTTATCTTCGCTAAAATTGACTAGATGTAGCTAATCCATTATGAAAAAAAAAAGAGACTGGCACTTACAAATGGGTTCTCTATTGTTCTTGGCTAGTCAAGTTCCCTAATACTGCAACTTTAAAGTTACTCATTAAAGAAGTCTGGAATGTAAGTCTATAAAAACCTTCCTGTTCACATCCTCATGCTTGCTATTTGTGCAAGCTGTCACTAGTATCAATACAGCCCAGACATGTCTACATAGCCTAGTGTTGACAAACACAAGCTCGTTTTCCCTGTACACTCATTGGCTTTGAACCAGCTGCATTAGTTCAGTAGCTTGCACACAGCTTATCGGCTCAAGCACAGCACTGTGCAAACACAGCTACACAGCTTCCCAGCCAGACATGGCTGCTGTCCAAGGACCTTGGAGCAGAGGCAAAGAGTGTAGATCTGTCTAAAGCACTCGTACCATAGCAGATGGATAGAACTACACACAAAAAAAGCAGACTGCATTTGCTCCATTTACAGTATGTACTTGTCATTCAGCAGACAAGATATACTGAAGTCATAATAGAAGAGAGGATGGTTACTTACCACTGCCACTGTAAAATACAATAGCTCTTTTCCTATGTATCGAAATCCAAAATTGTTTTAAGACATAACTATGTTGTAAATATTGACCATCAATGCTTTTTAGACATCACCTCGGCACATTTCTATTCCAGTAGATGCTAAATTTGTCATTCTCTTCACAAAGTTCAGCATTCACAGGTATCTGTTTAAATTCTGTATCTTGATCTGTATTTTCTATATTCAACTTTAGACTACAGAAATGTAATTTTGCAAAACATCTGTGTGTTGTTATTAACAAGCTGTGGATTCCATTCCCAGGCTTACTGAAGATAGTCTGTTCTAAAATTCAGACAACATCAAGGCTATGTGGTATAGTCCAATAGATCCCAGCCTCAGCTATTTAAGAACTGCTGCAGAGCTCACCTCTGCAGGCAGGCTAGATTCAGTCTACTATGCCAAACACTGATGTTCATTCAGTGCAATGAAACATCAATTCCACCCCTGCCTTTTTCTCTCACTAAGTCCTGAAAGGAATATTGCAGTTTTCCTTAATGTCTGCATCTGAAGCCTAGCTCATTCAGCCACTGTAAAAGAGAAGAAGCAGGAGCAAAGATTTTATTCTGTCTTGCAGACACACAGATAACATTTCTTTCTGCCTTAGCTGTGTTGGTTATATATACCACTGGAAGGATTCTAAAAATCACAGTATAGAAGTTATTTAGATGAGAACACTGCAGCCTAAACTCTCTCAGATATTTTGCTGTAATAATCTGCAATTGTATAATCAATTCTTTTAAGAGATTTTTTTGACACATGATTTGACTAAATGCCCTTTCCTGGAGTATAGTCCCCCTTCTTTTCTCCCTCCCCATTCCCATTCCCCAAGTTCTGAATTACAACTGAAGATAATACTAAACTGTAATTTTTGCTGTCTGCTATTTCAGTTGAGTTAATACCATCATATAAGGTGTCTGATAATGTTATTTTTTAAAAACACAAAGAAAGAAAAAAGGTTAAAACTGACTTACTTTTGCATTGAGAGGGCAAACAGACAGTGCACTCCTAAAAAGCTGTTCTTCTGACCTCCACTGACTGCTGCGGAGTGCACAGCGCATAACGTTCATCAGTAAGATTCCAAGTACTGCCACAGCAAGAATTTTCTTAACGAAAGAGAGACAAGTTAAGAATCAAATCACTCAATTGAAGCACTTCATCATCAGCTTTGCTGACTGTTTTGATGGTACCTTTTTCTTGGCTTGCTTACTCAAGAGACTAAATCCATATGTAAACAGAATGCAATAGCCAATACTGGGGAGGTAGATGACTCTCTCTGCAACAACAAATCCTACACGGAAGAACAGGTTGCTTGCAGGAAGAAAAGGGATAATAAGAAATCCAAGTCCCAGTGTAAGAATTCTGCAAACAAGAAACAAGATTATCAGATTAGCCATAAAGCTTAATAAAAATTTTTCAATTTAACATACAACATTTATTTTAAAAAACCTAGGAAAAAAGTGCAAATGAAGCAGGGCATTCAAAAGCAGCATTTGGGAACCACATTAAAAAGTCAGATTAGGTTTCAGTAAGATTTTGACACTTCACTCTATTATGCACTTTTAAAACCTTAGCTATAATTACCAGAAAAGCAAACTTCATGCTTCAAAACTGCAAAATAATCCCATTAAGTATTAATTATGTAATATCTATTTAAAATATACAGGTAAGAGAGCTAATGATGAAAGCTACCTGTCTGGTTCTGGAACTAATAAGACCATAAAAAAGGGAAAAATATACAGGTCACTTAAAGAAATAACTTAGAGATGTTTCCAACCGAGAGCACTGTTTGGTTTTTTTTCCTCCCCCTAACAACAAGATTAATAGAATAGAATTGTGTTTAACCACATACAGTCTACATCTACACCCCTTCCACAGTCAGTGGAGAGAGGCATTTCATCTTCCTTGCTTTAGGTACCTATATCAGGAATGAGCAACTCTCAGCAGGTAACTAAGGAAGACAGAGAACTTAGACAACTGAGAAAATTGAGACAAGGTACCTCACAGAAAGGATCCTTATGAAGGATTAATGAACACCACATCTGTGTCAGGCCATGGGCATGGTTGTTGTGTACTCAAATTTATTGCAACTAAATCTCTATACTTAATGTATACAACAAACCTACAGTAAGGAACTCGTTAGTTTTCTTTTCTCTCCTCTCAGTGTCCATGGTCTTCACTACTTGGTTTTTACTTTTTACTAAAAAATGGTTCAGCAATATTGGCTTCATTTTTCTTCCTAGAGAATATGATGACACTTATAACAAGATTCAACTCCTCTCCAAAATGATTTCAGTTGTACAAATTAGAAATCAGTACAGAAATAAAGAAAAGGAAAGTTAGTCTTTGAAGAGACAAGCAAAGAAATGAAGTTACAGAATACCTCAGAAAGAAAATGGAAACATTCAGTACTTTGAAAAAAAAAAGGATGATCTCATTGTGACTAAGCTGCTAAAAAATGTAAAGGAGCTGAGAATTAATTATACATAAAATCCAAGGAAACAGAAAAGCTAACAAAAATTAAGCTGAAATCCTCAAATGAGACAGCATAGTTAACAATATAAATATATTTTTAGTTTCTTTTGGTAAAGTACAAATCATTTCTTCAGTAGATACAGTGGGTCAGTATTTTATTTATTAATTGTGTGACTAGCATTTGTACCTCCTGTCAAGGCACATCTCTCCTTTTCATTATTAAGAGAGGGGATTAAAAGAGATGATGACTTAGAAAAAGTGATGTCAACAACACACTGCTCTGTTCTGAACACAGATTACTTCTTACCACCTACAGTGCCATTTCAGGAGAAGAATAAAGCAGCCATCCATATTTCCCCCTCCAAGTGTTTCCCACTAGTCAGTGTACAGTGATGGACCCAAATTGGGATAAAATTGTAATGACAGCTATAAATATTTATTTGAACTGCATTTGCTAGACACTGGTTCCACTGAATTGTTAAAATTATCGGTACTGGATTTAACAAAATAATACTGTACTCAAGTTGTCCAGCCATTTAAAATTCATCACTGTCTCTTACCTTCTCTTATAGCTGTCTTCTGAGCACAGAGCTTGGCATATCAGGCCAATTAGGCAGAACCAAAGTGCTGCTAGTGCAATTATCCTCCAGTCACTGACGGATTTAATGAGGGGTATGCAACCCATTGACCAATCAAAGCACAGCCACCAGGGACACAACAGCAACCATGCATTCAGCGAATAGTAGTAATTATAGTTTATAGCCTGTCAGTCAAAAAGAAAACAAACATTTATTTGATACTAAACTTAAGTGTGAGGGGAAGAAACTTTAGTTCTTTTCTGCCATTTTTGTTATTGCAAAACATTGCTTATAAAACAGGCCTTAAATCCTTAAATTCTGTTAGGTTGCATCTAGCTGTAGACCACATATGTTACAGCTGTGAAATTAATTTTTTTAATTTTTTTTTTTTAAATACAGCTGTGAGGCTCTCCTCAGAGAAGAGAAACAGAGTTCTCTACTGTACAATCAACATCCACTTGCAGAAAGAATTTCTCACATCAGAAGAAAATGTCAAAAAACAACATCCTCATCTCCAAAACCCAGACTTAATAAAGTTAGAAGCATACAGCCAAAACATACTCCAAATGCACCAGACCAGAACTTTATGCTATTTTCTTCAATTGTAAAGGAACAGATGAAGAGTCAAATACAGTATGTGGAAATATAACAAAATGCAGCAAAAGCTAACTGCTGGCAAGCATGAAAAAAGTAGTGAATAAATGGAAACATTCAGTGTGTGCAGCACATACTAAATTGAATGCAAAGATTATTCAAGGTGTAGGTTTAAAAAAAAAACAAAAACAACAATGGCAGAAAATCACAAAGCACAAGGGAAGTGATTCATTACACATCTCACAACATAAAGATTGCCCATTTTGTTTCTTTAAAACACAAAATAAAATTTAATTAGCTGACCAAGACAAAAGTTCTAAGCATGTCAGAAAAAAAATAATAAAAATCAGCATCATAACTTACTCTCACAAACAAACTATCTGCAAATGAAGCTGGATTGTCTACTTCAGTAAAAGCTGGTGGCCCTGTGCCCATAATCCTCCAGCGTATATAAAGTATACCAGCCCCTCCAGACATCAGAAGAGTTATTCTGAAAAGCAGCCCCTTTCTTAGCAGACCAGCACTCTACAGAAAAGAAAGAAAGAAAAAGCATTTAAAAACAAATACTTTCTTCTTCTCCTTATTATACTCACATCCTTTTGGCCACCCATTTCAGAGAAGTTATTAATTGACATTTGTCTTACTTTCGCAGTTACAAGTCAAACTTCACTACAGTGTCTCTCTAACTCCCTGTGTTACAGCATTGTAGGACTCTCTTAAAGCTTCCTAAAACCTGATGGTTGAAATTAATCTAAGCAGCCTCAGTAAGTCCTAAGAGAAGCAGACTGAAGGCAAGAGTTTCTCCGAAATTAGGGGTCATCTGAACCACTTCCTTCTCTGTTGAACATATCTGAAGATGAAAACATTGATAAACAGTAGATTTTTACACGAAGGTGTTGACTGGATCCTGAGAAATGTGGTCACATGATCTGAAGTATGAGCTTTCCTTTATCCGTATCTTCCTCCTTTAGCCTGATATGCTTTAAATACTGTATTCCCTTTAAAAACTAGTTATACATGATCTGTTCTCTATGTCCTCCATAAGAGCTAGCATGCTGCTTATTACCATCTATGATTGAAATACACTGATTAGCAAGCATCACCATAATTACTTATGAATCAATACTAGCTTTTTCTGAAAACTATGAAAAAAAAAGTCTTATTGAGCAAAAGATCCAGCAGTGTCCTGGCTGAAGGTATTTATTCTCTAAAATGATGGAAAAGTGAAGTTTCAAAGAGATACTCAGATGAGTTTTAAATATTTGTAGCTGACAGTGGAATCATCATAAAATATTTAGTTAAATGCATACAGAAATAAGCTTGTAATGGTGAATTTATATAAGCTAGCCTTTGTGCTCAGATGACTATTTCCAATCTGCACGTCAGTAACAGAAGTCATTACAATGAGGATTCAAGCAAATCATTGCTAAATACTTTTTTTTTTTTTTTTTTGGGAAAAAAATTGTGTCGTGAAGGAAAACTGCATTGTGACAATTTATATGTCTTATTACAAACTAATTACACTAAAAGTGTCATCCCAGGTTTAATTTCATTTAATGAAACATGCACCTTCCAAAAGGCCACACTTCACAAACCACAAAATCTCTTAGTAAGCAGGATTTTAGAAGAGGGAGAAGTGTTACCACATGTCTTATTGCCTTTGATTTAGAGCTTACTGAAATCTGGCATCAAACTGAAAGTAGTCTCTCAAATCAAGAGGGCAAAAAAAATGTGTGCAATTAAAAATTTATGACCTGCCTTTCAACAAGACAAAACAAATGAAATTTAAATACACTTAAATGAAAAGACCTTGACACATTTTTTTTTTTTTTTTTTTTAAAGTTGCAGGAGCTAAAATTAATTACTTCTATGTAAAGATGATAGAGAAAAGACACATTCTATGTTTTCCTCACCCAGACAGCTTGAAGATCACAAAACAGAAATATATTGCTTGGAGCTGTTCATGCTTAACGAGTAATTCTCCAAAAAAAGTTTGACCCTGACACATTTCCATCACTTTAATTTTGAGTTGGATCTACTTTAGTTCCGTACAACTCTAGACTCCTTCCTTTTCTTACGCTGGTTGACATTATTGTCATTATACAACTCGATTCCTCAGTATCCTTGCTTGCTGACATATTCTTCTACCTTTCATCCATTCCTTGCCCAAATCTATTGTTTCAGTTCTGAAAATTCCACTTTCACCAATTTCCCTACAAAGATTCTTAAGAACATTGCCACTCTTCATGAAGCAATTTAACAGTCCCATAGGACTTGTGCTGCTTAGAAATACGAGCAAGAGTTCTCTACAGTGAAACTACCAATCAATGTAAATTCCAATGAACATACATTCCCTTTGCCTTGCTGAAGCTTGCATGGGAGAGGCAAATGATTCAGCTGTTTAACAGTAGTGATGTTCTAGTAGGCTGTTGATCTATTTGGCTGCTATCAATTGCTAACCTCACTAACCATGACTGTTTTTGTGATTTGCTTATGATTATGATCTCTCAACAAATAATCGGTGTTAAATTCCATTTGATCCTATACTAGTTAAAGCAGTATCAATAGAAGTAGATATTTATCCTTAGTATCTATCAGAGCTTGAATAGTTCTACTTTCAAATCTCCAATCCACTATAAATTGTCTCCTGGTTGGTAATTCGTATGCTAAAGAAAAGAGTACCATATTTTAGTAGAGTTGGGAAATGGGACATAATAATATTTTTACATTATTTTTCTAATGTCTATTTAAGCACCTGATGAATCTGAATAAATAGCTCTACCTATGCAGACTAAGTTGTGTTTAATAACCACTTCAGGAGTTCTATTGCTTCTGTAGAATTTGTAGCATCAGGCAGCTCGTCCACAACAGTTTTAAGATACTGACGTGAGAACCTGTAGAAAGGCTTTTTGTCTTCAATGCATTTCTAATGTAATACCATTATTACTCACATTGCTGCAAAGATTTAACTGCACAATTGACTTACTTAGCTGGCTGAAAATCCCTAATTTTTCTTTAATTCTCAGCAACAACAAAACTGACAGAAGATCTCTCTGTTTCTTTTGGTACATGATTGATCAGCAAGAATGAACAAAACCTCTAAGGACTCACCTCCATTAACTTGTCCTTACGTAGTAATTTTTGAATGAACTCCAAAATATTTAACTTGTTAATCACCAGTGCATCAAACACTGCATTCAAACCCTAAACAACCAAAAAAAAAAAAAAAAAAAAAAAAAAAAAGTTAAAAAAAAGATAAATAAAAAGTAAGATGAGGTAGCTACCCAAAAAACAATTAAAAAAAAATACATCTTATATTCCACTTCTACATTTTACATCTTATTCCTGATTCCAAACAAGTGAATAACAGATATGTTGCTAATAAGATGGCAGAATGAGAAATTAAGAACCTGAGCTCAGATGAGTGGAACATCACACTATTGTAATAGATAGGCTTTTGCTATATCCAATAATGTTGCAGGGACACCATGTACCAACAAACTATGCCCCATATGGTTACAACAGTTTCAAACTATTTATCTGTTCTCAGACTGCTTTCCCAAACGTTCCGCAGTGTAAACACAACAGTCAAAAGGCATGGCTTATATTAAGGTGAAGTTTCTTTAAGTCTTTTACACACACACACACACACACACACACATTTTTGAGCAGCATGGTATCTTTTGACTTCCAGCTTTCAAAAATATTATTTTTTAAAGATAAATTGATTGTCACAACAACCAAAGGCTCAGAGACTTTATCAGGCTTGCTTTTTTTGCAATTACATCAACACATACACTGGAAGTTGCTGAAAAAAAAATGAGAAGTTCTATATCAGCCCCTACACATAAAGCTGAAGTATAAGTACTGCTCTTCAGGACTGTAGTTTATTGTTTCCTTGAGTGGAATGTACATAAAATAGATCCAGAGGTAATTCTTTTGAGGTCAATGAGGTAATTCTGTTGAGGTCAATGTTAAAGTACAACTTCAACGTCCAAGCAATCACCAACCATGACAATTCATGAATACTTAGTCTACATCCTATTACCTTTGGAAATTATGTCAATAAACTAAATGGAAAAAAGTAGTCAGTAAAAACAGTATCAGGCAAGGAAGGAGTTAGAACAAAGAGGAACCACCATAGGGAAAAGCGAGGAGATAGGTTGGAGTGTGGCATGGTTTCACATAGAGAGGTCAGCTGGCAATTACAAGGCTTTTGTATCAATTACATGGAGATTAATAACGTAAGAATCTAACTGGAAAATACATTCAGCCTAGAAGCAATCTTTTTAATATATGATTTATCCTTTCATCCCTTTGACCCTTGTCCCTTAACACAAGAATAAATACCATCATCTTAGCAATGCAAATAAATCCTAGCAAACGAATAAAAAATCCAGATCAAATAAAAATTCTGAGTCTTCTAACTCAAATAATTACAGAATCACAAGTCAGAGGGATTGGAAGGGACCTCTGGATCATAGTCCAACCCCCCTGCTAAAATGGGTATTCAAGATTAAGTTACACAGAAAAGTATCTAGGCGGGTTTTGAATATCTGAAGAAAAGAGTCCACAGCCTTTCTGGGAAGCCTGTTCCAGTGCTCTGTCACCCTCAAAATAAAGTCTTTCTTTGTATTCAGGTGGAACTTCATCTGTTCCAGGTTGCGTGTTACCCCTTCTCCTGTTGCTGGACACCACCAAAAAGCCTGACCCCATCCATTTGACTCTTGCCCATTAGATATTTACACATATTGATCAGATCCTAGTCTTTTCCAGGCTGAACAGCCTCAGGTCTCTCAGCCTTTCTTCATAAGGGAGATACTCAAGGCCCTGAATCATCTTTGTGGCTTTTTGCTGGACTCCCTCCAGAAGTTCCTTGTTTTTTTTTGTTTTTGTTTTTGTTTTTTTTGAACTGAGGAGCCCAGTCCTGGTTACAGTACTCCAGATGGGGCTCACCAGGGCAGAACAGAAGGGGTGAGAACCTCCCTCGACCTGCTGGCCATGTTCTTTTCAATGTACCCCAGGATACCATTGGCTTTCTTGGCTACCAGGGCTTACTGCTGGCTCATGGCCAACGTGTTGTCCACCAGAACACCCAGGCCACTCTGCAGCGGGTCAGCCCCTAATCTGTACCGATGTGTGTAGTTATTCTTCCCCAGGTGTAGGACTCCACACCTGCCCTTGTTGAACCTCATCAGCTATGCCCAGCTCTCCATCCTGTCTAAGTCTCGCTGAATAGCAGCACAGCCTTCTAGTGTGCCAGCCACTCCTCCCAGATTAGTATCATCAGTAAACTTGCCCTTCATACACGTCATTGATGAAGATGTTGAACAAGACCAGACCTAGTACTGACCTCTGGGGAACGCTGCTAGCTACAGGGCTCCAGCTAGACCCTGTGCCACCGACCAAAACACTCTGAATTCTGTCAGTTATCCAGTTCTTAAGTCACCTCATTGCTCACTCATCTATCCCACACTTCCTAAGCTTAACTGCAAGGATGTTTTGGGAAAGAGTGTCAGAAGTCAAGGTACACAACGCCCACTGCTCTTCTTTCATCCACTCGGCTGGTCGTGACATCACAGAAGGCTATCAGGCTAGTGAAGCCATGTTGACTATTCCTGATAATCTTCTTTTCTTTACTTCCTTGGAGATGACATCCAGAATAAGCTGCTCCATTACCTTCCCAGGTACAGAGGAGAGGCTGGCTGGTCTGTAGTTTCTTGGCTCCTCCTTCTTGCCCTTCTAGACATTGTCTTTCCTCCAGTCCTCAGGCACCACTTCAATTCTCTGTGACCTTACAAAGATAATAAGAGAGCAGAATGGCAAACATTTCTGCCAGTTCCTTCAGCACATGGGTACATTCCATTGGGGTCCATGGATTTGTATATGTCTAGTTTCCCTGCATGACCCCTGACCATGTCTTCTTTGATCAAGGGGGTTTCCCTTTCCCCAGATTCTCTCTTACCTCCAGGGTCCAAGATTCCCAAGGAGCAGAGACTGAAGCAAGAGAAGGCGTTTGGTATCTCTGCCTTCTCAGTGTTCTTCGTCACCATAGCATCCACCTCATTCAGTAGCAGACCCATATTTTCCCTAGTCTTTCTTTTGCGACTTACATACCTAAAGAAGCCCTTGTTGTTGTTCTTGACCTCCCTTGCCTTCCTTGTTGCATCCCTGCATGCCCTGACAATGTACTTATACTCCTGTCAAGTGGCCAGACCCCTTTTTCACATACCATAAACTTTCTTCTTCCATTTGAGTTTTTCCATAAGCTCCTTTGCTCATCCATGGGGGACTCCTGCCAACTTTGCCCGACTTCTTATTCTTAGGAATGCACAGATCTTGAGCTTGGAAGGAGTGGTGCCTGAATGTCAACCAGTTCTCCTGGGCCCTTATCTCCCAATGCTCTAAACCATGTGAATCCTCCAAGTAGGTCCTTGAATGGGTCAAAGTTGCTTCTCCTGAAGTCCAGGGTTGCATTCCTACTTATTACCTTCTTTCTTCCATGTAAAATCCTGTATTCCACTGTCTCATGGTCACTGCATCCAAGGCTGCCACCAACCTTTATGTTCCCAAACTGTCAGTCCATGTTTATAAGAACAAGGTTCAGCAACACACCTATTTTCACTGGCTCCTCTTCTACCACTTGCACCAGAAAGTTATCATCCAAGCACTGCAGGAACCTTCTGGACTGTGTGTGTGCCTGGCAATGTTCCTTTTCCAGAAAATATCAGTGTTGTTGAAATCCTCCGTGAGAACAGAGCCTGAACTCATGAAACTAATGTCAGATGTCTGTAGAAAGCCTCATGAACTTCCTCCTCCTGATCAGGCAGCCTGTAGTAAACACCCACAGTTATGTCACCCATGTTAGTCTGCTCCTCAGATCTCATCCATAAGCTCTTCGCCCATTCATCACTCATCCTTAGGCAGATCTCAAAACATTCCAGTTGTCTGCTTACATAAAAAGCAACTCAACCATCTCGCCTTGCTGGCCTGTCTTTCCTAAAAAGTACATAGCTGTCCATGACTGCATTCTAGTTATGCAAGCTGTCCTACCATGTCCTAATGATCACAATAGGATTATGGTCCTGCGACCACACACAGATCTCTAATTCTTGTTTGTTTCCCAGGCTGTGTGCAATGGTACACAGAAAAGAAAAGGGAGTTGAGGATGCAAGTTTCCCTAGAGGGATGGAATTGACTTACACCATTAGAAGACATAATCACAGGATGTTTTAAGAATATTTCTTAGGTTATCCTCACATATGTCCTCACAAATACCTTTGAAAAAATGCATCAGCCTGCAAATGTCTGTCTGAAAATAACGTCCTACAGGAAGATGGTTTCAGTGATTTCTTCTACAATTTTTTTTTCTAAGAAGGACAAGAATGTCCTTGCTGCAAATAGTTCTTCTGATTCTGTTGCTTTGTTTTATGTCTGTTAAAGCACCGAATTAGATTTACTTATACAGATATACAACTACATAAAAGGTATAAATCACAGGTGCAGCATTTCAGGTGGCTTACTGGATCCCTCAAAATGGAGCATCTTCACTTCAGTAACAGAAAGCGAGAGGACAATGAATTTGAAAAGTAACTGTGCCTGTTTGCATATACAGTTCCTTAAATAGGGAACAGAAAGAAAAGACTCAGCGCTAGAAATAAATAATGACCCTACTTCTAATTAGAATGTTCAAAAAAAAGCGAGAAGGTGGAGCTTCTAAAAATACTCTCCTCCAATTACATCTCTGTTCATGGCCTTCAAGAGAGGCCTGTAGATTCACCATCTCAACAATTATACATTGAAAAACAAGGCCAATGAACATGGACACACAGTGAAACTAACACTGCTAATCTTTCAAGTTTTGCAAGAAATTAACAGATACATGCAAACTGCTTACAAAAGATAAAATGAATTTACAACATATGGGCTATGGAGACACAACCAATACAGCTCTATTAGAATACTGCTAGTTTGCTGAAGAGAACAAAAAGTTACGTGATTAGTTGTGGAGAACATTCATCTTTGTACACTTTACAACTGCACCTGACAGATGCTGAGGTCAAAATTCAGTCAGTAAGAGGATTCTTACCAGTATTGTAATTCCTTGCTCTTTGCACAGCATGGCTATTGCACCTAGGAGAACACTCACCAGCACCCAGAATACAGAAAAATTATGTCCTTCCTTATCTGTCAAAATAAAGCATGTCATAATATTAGGTATATACATTTAAAAATTAAAGTTAGAAATTAAAATTAGAATATTAAAAAAAAAAAGAAAAACAAAGAAATAAAAGGAAAACCAGCATTTAATCTCACAAGATTTCCTGTTAGTCAGAATCTAGTTACGTAGACTTGAAAAGCATGAGGTGCCTCCTGTAATATGCTGGCATTTATCCATTTATTACAGTCTTTTTTTCTTCTCTGAGACATTAGAAATCTTCCCATTTGCTAGATGTCTTAGCCAGACTAATTAGAATGGCAGAAGCTTCACACAGTTTTCACAATCTATCATCTGCAAAGGTTAATTCCCAAGACTTGGATCCATTTATCTTCCTTAGCTACAACTCTAATATTACTGGCTACTCTCTTCCAAGCTACCACAGGAACATGAAGTTATTTCTAATGGTTACATATGAAGCAGCACCACACACACAAACTCCTTCAACAGCAGTCTAATCTACACAGGCACAATGAGTCGCTTTTCCAGGGCTGCTGCATTTAGCAAGTGCTTCATGCCATTTCATTAGCACTACCACAGAATGCCACAGAGCTCAATAATTCCAGCATCTGAGCAGAGAAACAGTTTTACGACTGGGTGAAGAACTGTGGGGTTAAGAGATCAAGAGATCAAGATCAACAGCTTCTAGTCAAAGAAAGAATCTTTAAAGACCACACCATGTAGCTGCTTTTGGGTTCTACAAGCAGGCATTTCTGAGACTGATATAACAATAAGCCTTACTACAGTCACGGTATTATTGCACACACAGTACATGGGTACTTCACATAAAAACATATCTGTCACAATCTCTACTCCACAAGTTAAAGCAACAGAGGGAAGCACTCAGCTTATTCAGAGACATATTCTTGATTCAAGCAACATGGGCTCTATAGGCAACACAAGAATCCACCTTTCATTTGGCCTGTGAAGAAACAAAGCTGAACTCTATATTCATTGAGTGAACCCTTTTTTAATATATTTTCCTTGATCTCTAGAGTCGTGCTTTCCTACTGTTAATGCAGGTTTGACCCTCAATACTTAGTCTGAACTATCATAATGTTCTATGGAGATGACAAATGACAGAAATAAGATCTCATTCACTAGAAGTAGGCACCTACATCTGAGAACAGAACAGAACAACATAACAGAACACTAAGTGTAGTTTCTAATTGGTTGAAAGAGAGAGACCCCTTTAGGGATCTAGTTACCTACCTAATTCAAGTTCAGAGAAGTAGCTATTGCTCTTCACTGATGATAAAGTGAAACTAGTATACTAACTTAGATGATGTTGGTGAGTAAAGTACAATCACTACAAGTATGAAAAGGACCTATTGATATTGGTCTCATTTTGGGGCAGAGTACTTTTGCAGAAGATAGTAAAAGTTATGAAGAATAAGTTTTGAAGTTGCTTCTAGCATTCCTTTCTTACCTAAGACTTAAAAGCTTAAACTGAGTGAATATTAAGATGTTTACAATTTATCTTTGAAATAAAATGTAGCAGGCATATGTTTCTTCAACCTCCATCTCAAATTACATCCTTATAGTTGAGGTAAGAGTAGACGTCAGAGGTGCAGATGTCAAATTGAAAAGAAAGCCTTCTAAAGGAAAGAAGTCATATACATCTCAATGACAACAAAACAAAACATGAAATACAAAATATATAACAGCTACAAAATATATAACAGCTGAAGAAAAGTTGTAGTGACAAGAACAAAAAACGCAATGAGGAGATCCCAGCTGACATCAAATGCACAGAACATGTTTCATGTATGCATGCAATTCATGGAGAACAAGGCTTCAAAATTCTCTCTATAAGCATTGCTAAGAACAAAAAGTACCCATCCTAAATATATCCCTTGAAGACCTTCAAACTCTTCAGATTGCTTGCAACTGTCCATCCAGTCTTTGAAATGTGCTTGTTCCAAATGTAGAAAGAAAGTAGCTGGCAGAATGTGAAGACAGAAGGCAAACTATGAGCACAAAACAACAATCAGCCTTCCTAGTAAGTGTAAAAGAGAGAGCAGTAAAGCCAATGGATTTCAAAGAGGTTGCTGAAGCATGCTTACTTCAGGTAGGAGATTTCTTCTTTCAAGAATTAAATTCGGGGAGAGAGAAGCTGGGACATTTGAGCATTTCCCAGAGAAGTGAAGCAGCATTCAATGCACAAATAAAGATTATGTTAACACGGAGTATGGTAGAAAGTATGTACAGCAAGAGATCAAACTCAGCAATTCACAAATGCTTTGATGATTAAGTGTAAGAAGCAGCAGGGAGAAAAGAAAGGTCAAATTATCAAGGACAAGTGTAACAACAGCACACTAATAAAGCATTAAATTCATAAAGGCCACATCACAAAATGAGAAAATACAATGTATGTAAAGAACAAAACCACAATCCCATAGATATTTTAGTAAGAAAAGCAGCAAGGAAACAGTTATTCAGGTACTTGGTGAGAGAGAAAATGGGGGCAATGCCAAGAAAACAGAAGTGTTCTGTGCCTTTTTTTGCTCCATTTTTCACAAAGAGGTCAGAAGAGTTGCAGTCAGATGACTTTCACAACATCGACAGAAGCAAAGCAATGAACTACAAGACACAGAATTTATAGAGAAAATAATCTGCTTTAAATTATAACTACTGATTACATTTACTCCAAATAAGAGTAATCTCAACTGATACCTTTGGGACATCATGCAAAACAGGAGATTACAGAAGCTTGGAATTAACATAAAAAAATAAAAATTAAATGTCTGCATCCTACCACTAAAGAGGAAAATGGAGAGGAAAAAAAGAGATAAGGAATCAAAGCCAAGCTGACTTGGCCATTTAGAAAAAATTAAGTATAATTTCTGACTTGGAAAGTAAAAAGCAAACCTGAATAAAAGCAAACTTTGTCTTCAGGAAGACATGACAATTCTACTGGAAAGAGTGTGAAATAACCCAGAGAATACAGGGGCTGGATGACATTATTACAGAACAGATCCAAGTAACAGTTATAAAACTACTCTAAGATTCTAGGTTACCATGAAGAATGGAAAGATACGATCTGGACTGGATCTTTCTTTCATGTAGCTTTTCTCATTAGATATTTTTAATCAGAATATTCCATCATTCAAATTTTAAAGTCTCAAAGTGCTGCCAGGCTATAATGATGGGGAAATGTATTAAGGAGAACTCAGAATTCATTTGACAAACCTGAGGAACGATCTTGGGAAAAAAATGATAATTGAATGTCATTCAGGCACACATTCAAAGCTGTACAGAAACAGACTTGTCTTCTTGTGAACATTCCAAGCCTCAGATGCCAGCAATGTCTCAGCATGTATGGTGTAGCCAAGCTTAAGTATGAACTCTCAAAGACAGTCAAAGATGGTAAACAAAAAACAATTCCATAGATACAACATCAAAAAGAGGAACAAGCATCAATATTTCCTTCCCAAAACCATAATGTCAGTTCCTTTAGTTTCTTCATCAGTCTCAACAAGTCAATACAGTCATATACAGAACTGTAATGGTATGAAAATTAATCAATTTCTGATTAAACTTCAAAGAGATAATTTCAATTATGAAAGGCATTATCTTGTGCTTGTTCCTTGTTAAGTGTGCACAAATAATCCCCACATCCTCACTGCAGAAATCTCAGTAGTAAACTAGAATTGAAAAATAGATATGAAGCATTCAGAAATGCCTTCAAGCAATTTTTAACAGTGATTTGCAAATGTAAAGCACTGCATTAAGTGCTAATTATTATTATATGACACACATATGCCAACAGAAGTAATCAGTATAACAAAGCACATTCCCCTAATACAGTGCCGCTTCCCACCAGAAAAATCTTGTGTCAGAAAATGAAACCAATCTTTGGTTGGCACCTGTGCCTAGTTGAAACTGGTACACCATATTGTGAGTGGGCATTGTGCCATTAACAGATGGACAGGACTGTAAGCATGCCAAGTAAACAGGGTTTTTTTGGTTTTTTGTTTTCTTTTTTTTAAGCTGGAAAAAGATAGTGTTTCTATACCAACACAAAAAAGAGTTTCCAGATGACCCTGCCTGAAGAGTACATTAAGTCTGAAAGCTGAGGAAATCTAAAGAGATACCTGCCTAAGCCATGAAGGCACCTATACTCATGCTGCTGGACTTCAGTAAAAGCATCTCTAGGGAAATTCTGCAAAACAAAGAGTTTCATGATGTGGAGTTGACTGATACTAAATATATGACCTATACTCCTTCAACTCTGCCTTCCTAGATGCTAATCCTATTTATTGAAAAACCTCACTCAGCATTGTCCTAAATCCACAAATCAATGAAACAAGGTTCCTCAAAAGATCAGGGTATGAAGAAAAGTACAATATGTTTAGAGCATCAAGCTTAGTCTTACTTTTAAGTCAAGCTAGTAACAGCAAAGCAAAAGAAAATCAAGGAACAATTATCAATCCAAACATTCAGGCGTTCAGCATTCCCTCTTTCAAACCAACTGAGCAGCTTAGGGCTTAGACAAGTGACAACTTTGAGCAGTTTAATAAGTCACCATGCTCAAGTGAAATGGTGTAACTGCTCCTGTGAAAGTGCCATCTCATTTGAAAATTGAAGCAAAATCAATTATGATAAGCTTTTAAAGGAAGTTTTACTTTCCACTGAAAAATTACACATGCTTATATATATACTCTGTTGATGTGCATTGCCTGGAGGGACAGTAGCTTCCAGCTAAACATCTACAAATACTCATTTAACCCTAAGACTTCCCTGCTTGCACACTGCTGTACAAGGGGAAAGAATTACTTGAATTACTTAGTCTTAGAAGATCAACTAAGAATCTACTGTTAGAATTAACTTAAGCCTGAGATCTTTGTGTTTCCAGTTTTCTGAATGTATGTACTACTGCAATGCAGCTCAGCCATTCACGTAATAACAAAACAGTAGCACTAAAATGCTGTTCCTAAACATCTCTATGTACCTCAAAACTTACTAG